GGGGAGGGGGCGAGCGCCTGTTTTGTCGTGGTGCTGGCAGCGAAGCTGAACGAGAGAGGAGGCTGCTGCCGAGCTGTGCAGAGAGGAGGAGGCACCGCAGTCTTCCACGCTGCGGGGGGTTGGGGCTGGCAGCTCGGCACGCTTGTGCTGTTTGGCCTCAGCAGCCTGGAGGTGTCGATGTCCCCGTCTGCTCCTGTCCCCCTCGGTGCTGGGGCATTGCTAGGGGCTGGCAAACGGTTCTCATCGTATTTGCAGTGTGGGGTGCTCCGTGGAGGCTTGCACGGGGGCGAGCACTGGCTGTGGTGTGTCAGAGAGCCCTCAGCTGAGGCTAAGTGCAATCCTTGTTTGTGTTCCTTGGTGTACAAGGTGTGGGGAAGCGCTGGGACGGGACTGGCGTGCTCCAGGCCGCCGGCGTCGTTGCCAGGGTTTGCTGCAGAGACGTTCCTGGTGTTTGCTGGCTCTGGGTGTGAGGCTGTGACACCCCGTGCTCCTCTCTTTCAGGATGGACTGGTGAAGACCAACATGGAGAAGCTGACATTTTATGCCCTGTCTGCCCCGGAGAAGCTGGATCGCATCGGTGCCTACCTCTCTGAGCGGCTCATCCGAGACGTGAGCCGGCACCGATACGGGTGAGGGCTGGGAGGCTGTTTTCAGCCACCCCAGTGACTGGCATAACGATGGGACACTAGATAGTAGAGGGGGCCCAGGCAAGGGGTGGGACGTGTGGGGTACGCAGCTCCTGCCTGCTCCAAGCTGTCCCGAAGCTACGAGCACGCTGCAGAGAGCCCCAAGGATGTCCTGCCTCCGAAAATGAGATGTGGGAGCGTGCATGGATGTGCAAACTCCTTGCAAGGGACCAGGCAAGCTGGGAGCCATGTAGTGTTCCCCTGGCATCGTTCTGTCTGTGCTTGAGGCGTGTGTCTGTCTGTCTGTGTGTGTATGGCGTTTGTCCCCAGCAGTGGGACTGTCATCATCCCTCCGGGCTGTCATCAGGAGACTGTGGCACCCTCCTGGCCTTCAAAAACCCACAGGGGCTCTTCCAGAGCCAGGTGGAAGTCTGGCTGGGGGCGGGGAAGCAGCTAAACAGGATGGCCCTGGCTGCAGGTTGTTGAGAAATATTCAGGACAAGCTTGGGTCCACCTAAGAAGTGTTAAAGTTGGAAAACCTTCAAAGCTCCATCCACCTCGCCCGTCGTCGGGAGTGACAGGCCATTCAAAGCTCTGCCTGATGTTCTGCGGCTCTTAACAAGCTCTGCTTGCTATGTTGGGAAAAGAAAGGCTTCCAAAGATTTTTGACATCTAATGACAAGCCTCAGAGGGTGGAGGGGGGAATATATTCCTTCCTCTGCCGGTGTGTGGAGGCACGTAATTGGGTTGGAGCGCTCACTGATTTTCAAAGTCTAACTTTGAAACGTCTGGAACGGGTTTGGATCAACCTTTCGTTTGTGGGTTGGTGTTGGCTGGAGCAGCAGGGCTTGCCCCGCTGCAGACACCGTGGTCGGGCTTTGAAAGAGCGGCCGAGCACGCGGGTGCCTCTCCTGCGTGTGAGGTGAACGACGATTTTGGTGGACGACAGGTTAACCATGAGCCAGCAGTGTGCCCTGGCTGCCAAGAAAGCCAATGGGATCCTGGGGTGCATCAAGAAGAGTGTGGCCAGCAGGACGAGGGAGGTTCTCCTTCCCCTCTACACTGCCCTGGTGAGGCCTCATCTGGAGTACTGTCTCCAGTTCTGGGCTCCCCAGTTCAAGAAAGATGAAGAGCTACTGGAGAGAGTCCAGCGGAGGGCTACAAGGATGGTGAGGGGACTGGAGCATCTCCACTACGAGGAGAGGTTGAGGGAACTGGGCTTGTTTCAAGAAGAGATGGCTTCGAGGGGACCTTAGAAATGCCTACAAATATCTGCAGGGTGGGTGTCAGGAGGATGGGGCCAAGCTCTTTTCAGTGGTGCCCAGCGACAGGACAAGGGGCAATGGGCACAAACTGGGGCACAGGAAGTTCCACCTGAACCCGAGGAAGAACTTCTTCCCTTTGAGGGTGACGGAGCCCTGGAACAGGCTGCCCAGGGAGGTTGTGGAATCTCCTTCTCTGGAGATATTCAAGACCCGCCTGGACAAGGTCCTGTGCAGCCTGCTGTAGGTGCCCCTGCTTCGGC